CCTGGTTACTGGCACTTACATGATTGGCTTTGTGGATTGTTCTTTCGGTGTGCTGTCTATAGCCAGATTGCCTTTCTGCAATTCCAATGTGATTCTACACTTTTTCTGTGATGTGTTTCCAATTTTAGCACTGTCCTGCAGTGATACATATGCCACTGAAATTGTAGTATACATTTGTGCTGGTTCTACACTGTTACTGTCCCTGATCCCAATGTCCTGGTCCTATGTGTCCATTCTCTCTACTATTCTGAAAATTAAGTCCACTTCAGGAAAGCAGAAAGCCTTCTCCACCTGTGCCTCTCACCTGCTGGGAGTCACCATTTTTTATGGCACAACAATCTTTACTTATTTAAAACCCAAGCAGTCCTACTCCCTGGGCAAGGATCAAGTGGCTTCTGTCTTTTACACAATTGTGATCCCTATGCTCAACCCTCTCATTTATAGTCTTAGAAACAAGGATGTGAAAAATGCTTTCATTAGGGTCATGCAGAAGAAAGGGGCCCCAAGCAACTAAGATGACAGTGAGGTGAGGCATTTAAAGCAAACTTTTCATGGTCTGTTGGAAAGAAGATGTGATTCATTTACGCATGCTTAGATTCAGTTGTGCTTCATTTCTCTTACCTTAACTGACATTTCCAAGAATTTATTATTAGATGTCTGTATTGAATCTCTAGATTATACAAAGTTACTTCAATGGACAACTAATGTACAGCACAAATTATTTGCCTACAACTATGACATTATATCCTAAGTCATGTGTTCTATAATTGGGTGTTTAGTAAGTTTTCTTATGGGGGAGAAAAGTATATATGTCCAATGGAAACAGTTTTCTGTTCATTTTTATTACATAATATACTTTCTTATGTATAGCATGAAGACAAGTCACTTAGTTAAGGCTCAATTTGCTCACCGGCACGATTAATCTTAATTTCTGATGCATATGATATATGAGTAATGAAGCACCTTTTGTGCTTGTCTTTGTCATGTAAGTCTTGTTCCTTTAGTATTGTAAAGCACATGCTTTTCTAATTTCTTGTGTATTTATCTATGCCTTTTCTGTTGCTTGAACCCAGTACCTGGGCTCTGTCCCTGAAATTTTTACTTCTGGTTTTTTGGTGGGTAATTGAAGATGAGACTCTCACAGACCTTTTATTGCCAGGGCTGACTTTCAACAAGGATGCTCAGATATCAGCCTCCTCAGTAGCAAGATAACAGGTGTGATTTACCAATGCCTGCCTCTCCACTGCATATTTATTTAAATTAGTTTCATTTAATTTTAACTCAGCAAGTTAAATAGCAGATGTGGAAAACCTCACATTTCATCTTTAGAATAAACTATTGATATAAATTTATCTTAGATAAAAAAGGCATATGTTAATGTTGAATGAAAGTAATTTGAAACATTCTTTTGAAATTCATTATTAAGGGGTATACTGTACCGAACATGGTGTATATTTTTCTCAGTGAACAATTTTGTGTGTATACATATGACTTATTTGAATGGAATTTATGTCATTTACTGTGCTCTTCTGGAACTTTTTGTAGTCACTTAAAAATCTGTTGTATTTGTGATTTTCAATAAAAAGCTATCCAATGAATATTGTCTCAGGAAATGGGCGGATTTAAAACTTGTTTTGCAATGCTTTGGACTAAAATACTGTGACTTTTCTATGATGAAATTTACTTGCACTAACATTTCTTATGTGGGCAACTGCTAAACATTTGAGGACCATGTATCCATTCACTTCTTGGGGCTGCTTCATTGTACTAGCCTCTTTCCTCAGCTTTGAAAAATACTTTAAAATAAATACTTGAGTTAAATGTTTGATTTGATCTTGTAATATTTTTAAACAGAAATATAAAGCAAATATCTGATAATAAATTTAGTGTTTGTGGCATCAGATTTAGTTGAATACTAAAATTTCCTTAATTGTCAATTTTCAACATATTTTGGAATTGCGATTGACAATTTTCTCTGATGTTAAAGATAACTTTTTAAAAGTACAGTTCCTTTTCCTATTTTTATCTTAAGATACAGTACAAGTACAAACTAGACATATTGTTTAAATCCAACCATTTTAATTTTATATGCTAACTACCAACCAAATGTCTAAATTTTTGATTAAAAGTTAAATATAATTTTTCTAAATGCCTTCTGAGTGTTAATACACCGCACTTGCTACAAAAGCACCCATTTGTTCAAAATTTGTACTGTCAAAATAAAAATGAATAAATTAAAAACTTCAATTTACCTATTTCATAAGTTAATCATTCAATAGACTCTCATAATTTCACAATGACCAAGATTTTTATTAACTCTTTCAATATTAATTGTATTCTGCTACTGTCTTGATGTATTTCACAATGTTGCCTTATCATATATCAATGTCATTTGAAAGAATTTTTACTTAATTTTGTTTTCATAAGTATACCATTATTTGCTAGTATCCCTATGTTTATTTATTTGAAGTTAAGAGTAATATTTACTGAAATTTTCTTTGTTAATGGTAAAGAAATGCTTTACCAATTCCTATATTCATGGAATTGGGATATTTCTAGCAAGGTTGGATGAACATTCTCAGATTAATAAATATAGTTTAGAGTACAAATTGAGTCAATGGTCCTTATCACTACATCATCTTTATCATCATAGTTGTGGAGATAGCCTTTGACAAAATTCAAATTTAATTCATGATTTACAATAGAAAGAGATACAAAACATCAGATCACATTTGACTTCCTCCCCATCCAATAATCTTAGAAATTGTTTGGCTATCATCAACATCTATATTGTTTATGAATATTAGTTTTATTATTTGGAAATTATGCAGAATAACTATTTGTTCCAGGTGATTCGACATTCACCAAGCATAAAAAGGTGACACTGAAATTCACCTTGAGCTATCCTTTGTCTTAAAGTTTCAAGAATGTCACATACTTAACTACTGTATTTCTAGTCTTGGAGACTAGAAATATTCTCTGTCATCTAAAATAGCACTTCCTTCCAAAAGTTCATTGGATATCTATGGATAGCTTCTTTACTCGTACCAATAAAATGTTTGATATTGGTATAATTTGTGGAAGGGAAGGGAAAAAAATTGTTTAAATAGGGATACAGGTGGACCCATTGCAACAATGAGATGTACAAGACACAAGACATTGTCGAAAAACAAAATTTACAACCTGGGGAGGCAGGAATGGTAAGGGGAAACAAAGTAGGAGGCAACAATGCTTGATAAGAAATGGTCTCATTACCTCGCTCATGTAATTGTAACCCCTCTGTGCGGTATTTTCACAATAAACAAAACAATAATAAAAAATAAAAATAAAAAATGTAGGGAATAAGCACACTTTCTTTTTTTCAAGATTTTTGTTTATTGTAAAGGTGCTGTACAGAAGGGTTACATGAATAAGTAATGAATACATTTCTTGTCAAACATTGTAACGCATTCCTTTGTTTTTCTTCCACTGTTCCTTCCCTCCACAACTGCCCTTACCCCAGTAAGTTATAAAGTTCATTTTCAATATAGTTTCTTGTGAGTATCATTGTTGCAATGGGTTATCCTGTGTCCTTGTTTCAGCATTTTGTTATTGCCCTTTCCTTTCCCAAATCATGATAAACATGTATATAAGACACAGGGTACCAGATTCAAAGACAGTGATTGCCAGGGGAAAAAAAAATAAAAAACAATGGAAAAAGAAAACTCAATCAAATAAAAAGAAAGAACTATTCTTGTTGTATTCAATGTACAGAGCATACTTTCTTAGGGAAATAGTTTCCATAAATATATGAAGAAAAACATATTTTATGATCACTCAAAGCAAGTTTCACAAGAATCTTTTCCGTATTCTTACTGGGCTCATTTTCAGATTCCCCCATTTGCCTCCCCATCTTGGCAAAATACTCCTAAATGAAATAATTCAGGTGTTATTATCTCATTCATTACTAGTGTAGCTCTTAAGAAAACATAACATTAAATAGCAATGCATCAAAAGAGAACAGGTAATCTTCCTCTTGTTTGTGGAGCTTCTGTGTGAAAAGTTCATGCAGATTTAGAACTTGAAATTTTGTTCTTGAAAATATGCCAAGTAAACTCCTAGGAATTTGTTTCTATGGATTACAAAGTGTTGCATAATATCCCAACCATTAAATATGGCACCCTGGACATATCAGCGAGGGAGTAAAAACATACATTGCTCTTAGAGTAGCTCCTTGGTATTCTTTAGAAATATACCTTTCTGGGAAACTTCTCTTTTGAGCAACCTGATAAAGGTTCTTTGACTTCAAATAAATACCACAAAAGTGTAACAATAACTACAGAAAGGAAAACAAAAGTTATATTACAGAGATGGTTAATACCTCATTGGAATGGGATGTTTTAAAGTGAGACTTAGCAAAATTTGTCTTACAGTTTTGGAAGTAGTTTTCTTCTGACCAACATATGTTCACAGTAAGTATTCTTAAGATGTTAAATTTACTTCAAGATAGACACTAGAAGGGAAAATTGGAGAATAAAGAAGAGAGTAACATTAGAGAGAAGCATTAGACTCAGAACCTGACTTATGTAATTGTAATCCTCTTGTACAACTACATAAAAACAGTAACAATGATAGTAATAGTAATAATGTTAGACTATAAAAAGATATTGGATTGAAAAAGAGTAATACATAAGGTTTAGTATTATGTATTGCTTAAATAATTTCATAAAATGTTTTAATCACATTATAGGATAAAATGGAGAATGGTACTTTAGTTATATCATATCTAAATGTAATTTTATCACTATTTAGAATTATGATGGAATTAACGTCATAATATATAACTTTATGATTATTATGACACAACAGGGTATTGAAAAAAATGCATAATTTTATGATTAATTTTGACACAACTTAGGGTACTGAGCAAATGCTTCATCTTTAATAGAAACATAACTCCTTTGGGAATCACTTGAGCTAAGGATCACCTCTTCTTTCTCAACAGTGTCCACCAGCACACTATGAGAACCTGGAACAAAACTGTGGGATCCGACTTCATCCTTATGGGGCTGACAGATTCTGCAGAGATGCAGCTGGCGTTATCTGTGCTGTTTCTCATGACATACTTGATGACTGTTCTGGGAAACCTCGGCATGATCATGATAATTTGTCTGGATCGCCAGCTTCACACGCCCATGTATTTTTTTCTCACTCACCTCTCATTCATTGACCTCAGTTTCTCAAGTGTCATCACACCGAAAACTTTAGTGAACTTGATGACTTCTACCAAAAGTATTTCATTCTTGGGCTGTTTCACACAGACTTACCTTTGTGTCTTGTTTGCTGGTTCTGAAATTTCTCTCCTCTCTGCAATGGCCTATGATCGCTATGTGGCCATCTGCAATCCTCTACAGTATCCTGTTATAATGTCCTCAAGACTCTGCTGGGCCCTCATTGCTGGCACTTATATGATTGGCTTTGTGGATTGTTCTTTCACTGTGTTCTCTATAGCTAGGTTGCCTTTCTGCAATTCCAATGTAATTCATCACTTTTTTTGTGATATATTTCCAATTCTAGCTCTGTCCTGCAATGATACATATGTCACTCAAATTGTAGTATACATTTGTGGTGGTTTTACCCTCCTTCAGTCCTTTATCATAATGTCCTGGTCTTATGTGTCCATTCTCTCTACTATTCTGAAAATTAAGACAACTTCAGGAAAGCAGAAAGCCTTCTCCACCTGTGCCTCCCACCTGCTGGGGGTCACCATTTTTTATAGCACAACCACCTTTACTTATTTAAAACCCAAGAAGTCCTACTCCCTGGGCAAGGATCAAGTGGCTTCTGTGTTCTACACGATTGTGATCCCCATGCTCAACCCACTCATTTATAGTCTTAGGAACAAGGAAGTGAAAAATGCTTTCTTTCGAGTTGTGCAGAAGAAAGGGGGCTCCTGGATACTAAAATAACTATGATTTGAAATGAGTAAATTCATCTCTTGCTGCTTTACTTGTTTAATATCCTTGGTTTTTCTAAAAAGAATGGAAATTTGCAGGGCGCCGGTGGCTCCCGCCTGTAAGCCTAGCTACTCAGGAGAATGGTTGTTCAAAGCCAGCCCTTACAGGAGTGTCTGTGAAACTCTTATCTCCAATAAACCACCAGAAAACCAGAAGTGGTGCTGTAGCTCAAGTGGTAGAGCACTAGTCTAGAGCTGAGGGACAGCACTCAATCCCAGAGTTCAAGCCCCATGACCAAAAAAAAAAAAAAAAAAAGAATGGAAACTCATTGATATTTTCATAGTAAAATTGTATTTTATTTATCTACACATAGTCTTATACATTCCTGGGTATACGTTGTTAGAGATTCCTATTGTAATTTAAAATCATATGAAATGTGATAAAACTTATTTATATACATATATATGTGTCTACGTGTATGTGTTTCTGGTTCATATATGTGTACAAATGATCAAAATAACTAACAGGTGATACATACAGTACTTAGAATTCTTAGTGTAACCTCAATTTTACCCTGGCACCATGACTTCGACCAGTAATATGTACTCAAGACACTGAGATCAGAGGATTGGCATTTGAAGGCAGCCTTTGCAGACAAATCTGTGAGTTTCCCTCCAAAGAGATTTTCTTGTGTGAAAAAGCCAAGCAGGAAAAATCATTATGTCCTGAGCGCAAGCCCTAGTATCAAGATAATCTTAAGAAAACTAATAATAAATAAATGTGGTCTTAAGAGAAACATCTGTGTTATGTAAGGATTCTAGGTGTAATTCTTTTTCTTAAATTTTATTATTAAGGTGTTATACAGAACAAATTTCTTTTTGTGCAATGTCTCCTCTTCCTTCATCTCTCTGATTCCTCCACCACAAGTTGCATAATTCACTTTCAACATAATGTCTATTGAGTTCCAAGGTTGCTTTTGTTCACCCTTAATCCCTCTGTTTTAGCATCCCTCTTGATGTTCACTACAGACATTGAAAAAAAAACAAAATAGAAAAAACAAAAATGCAACACGAAAAAGCATCATTTCACTTGGATATGGGTTCTTCTAAAAATTATGTCATAAAATATTCTATGCATATTTCAAATTATAAGAAATTTTATTATGAGGAAATATATATGCACATTAATAGTTCCAGATGCCAGGCTTTGCATGGTAATAATTTCTTAACTGCATAACTATTAACAAATGACTGAAAATTTAGTCATTTCCTCAGCTAAGTAAGATAAATCCACATTTTCACTATATGTGATCAGAAAAGCTGTTGGATGACTATGGTTGCCGTAGAGAGGAGATTTTAACACTGATTTTGTAAAACATTTGGAGTGAGACACTGTCAGTTTTCCATGTTGAAATCTTCTTGCAGTAACATCTCTTATGAGGGCATGTGCTAAACATTTGAGGACTATGTATCCAGTGACCTATCAGTTCTGTTTCATTGAATTAACCCATTTCTTCAGCTTAATGGAATATACATAAAAATAAATTCTTGAACTGTGTTTGATTTTCCCTTGCAATATTTGTAAAGAGAAATATGAAGCAACTATTTGATTAAAAAACCCTTACAGTTTGTAATATCCCATAAACTCCAGTTTAGTTAAATACTGATATTTCCTTAATTTTCAATTTTTCACTGCATATGTTAGAAATGCATTTTGCATTGTTCATTGATATTAAAGATTTTTTTAACAATAAAGTTCCTTTTCCTGTATTTTGTTGTTTTAAAATTTATAACAAGTACAAATTTCCAGATTATTTAAGTCCAACCAACATAATTTTATAAAGTAACTACAAAGCTAAGATTTAAAATGTTTAATAAAAAATATATTTGATTTTTTTCCTAAATGCCTTCTGAGTAGGAATATAACATTTCAGTTGCTACAAAATGAATCACTTTGTTCAAACTCTTCACTTCCAAAAATTAAAAGTAGATTAATAAAATGAAAAATCTCAACATGTCTATTTTAGCAGTTAATTGCATAATAGATTATTTTAATTTAAAAACTGAGGTTCTTTATTAAATCTTTCAATATTTATTATATTCTGCTGCTTTCTTAATTTCAAACCTTTGCTTAGTCCTATATCAATGTCACATGTAAGAATTTTCACTCAATATTACTTTGCTCACTACACTCTATAGTCTATGTGTTTTCTAGCAGTCTTATATATTCTTGTTTAAAGTTGAATATAATAATTACTAAGGATTTATCATCTACTGAAATTTTTTTGAGTTGTCATTGGTAATGAAATGCTTTACAAATTGCTATATTCACATAGCTGAAATATTTTTGGAGGACTGGATGAACATCCATAAATCAATAGAGTATAGCGTATAAATTGAATTAACCATTCTTATCACTCAGTCATGCCAATAGTTGTAGAGATAGCCTTTGACAAAATTCAAACTTCTTTCATGATTTACAATTGAAAGAGATACAGAGTCTCTGATAACACTTTGACTTCCATATGATACAATATTCCAAGAAATTGTTTGGCTATCATCAACATCTATGGGGTTGATGAATATTAGTTTTAATGTTGGGAAATCTTGCAGAAGTATAATTTGTTCAACATTCACCAATCATATGAATGTGACACAGAAAAATCACCCTGAGCTCTCCTCTTAACTTAAACGTACTTGCTTGTCACATAATTTGTTTGTTGCTGGATTTCTAGTCTCCAAGACTGGATACATTCTCCGACTTCTAAAATAGCCTTGACCTCTAAAAGTTCATTGGATATGCCTATAAGACATAAGCATGGCTTCTTTACTCATGCTAGTAGTATTTTAAAATATCAGGGAATGGGCACACTTTCTTTTTCTTTTTTTTTTTGTCGGGGGGGGTGCGGGATTCCAGTCGTGGGTCTGAACTCTGGGCCTGGCCACTGTCCCTTGGTTCTTCAGCTCAAGGCTAGCGCTCTTCTACTTGAGCCACAGAGCCACTTCCGGCTTTTTTTTCTGCTTATGTGGTGCTGAGGAATCGAACCCAGATCCTCATGCATGCAAGGCAAATGCTCTACCACTGTGCCACCTTCCCAGCCCCCAGCACACTTACTTAAGGGGATATTTTCCATACATATTTGCAAGAAGATAAATTTTATGATCACTCAGTACAATACACGAGAGTCTTTTCCTGATTCTTACTGTGTACATTTGAGGTTCCCCGATAGGCTTTCTCATCTTTGGAAAACAATGCTAAAAGAAATATTTCAGGTGTTTATTAACTAATTCATTACTAGAGTAGCACTCAACCACAGACATTAAAAAAGCATTGCATCAAAAGAGATCAAGAGATCTTCTTCTTTATTGAGGAGCTCCACTGTGTAAAAAATCATACAGATTTAGCACTTGAAAATTTGTCCTTGAAAATATGCAAGTAAACTTCCTCAAAATTGGTTGCAGATAATGACAAAGTAATACCCTAAACCTATTACATCAGATGTTCTGGATATATCAGACTGGGAGAGAAAGCATGAACTGCTCTTATAGTAGCTCCTTGGGATTATTTACAGACGTATCTTTCTGGGAAACTTTCTTTTGAGCAACTGAATGAAGTTCTTTAAGTCTAATTAACCTTGCAATAAAAAATAAATGCACCATAAATGTGAAAATATCTACAGAAAAGAAAACAAATGTTAAATTACAGAGATGGTTAGTACCTCACTGGAAGGAGATATTTTAAAACTAAATTTAGCAAATTTTGGATTACAATTTTGGAAGAAGTTTTTTTTGACCAACTTTCATTCCCAGTAAGTATTCTTAAGAAAGTAAATTGACTTGAAGACAGACACTGGAAGGGAGATTGGAGAATAAGAAAGGAGTTACATTGACCAAAAAGCTTTGTATAAATAACCTGACTAATGGAATTGTAACTATTTTGTACAATTACATAATAAAATTAACAATGATAATAGTAATAATACCCCATAAAAAGATATTGGAAGTAAAAACAGTAATATGGAAGCTTTAGCATTTTGTATTGCTTAAATATTTTCATAAAATATTTTAGCACATTATAGGATAAAATGGAGACAGTAACCATTAGTCTAAGTGTAATTTTATATCATTATTTAGACTTCATGGTTAAATTTATGTCATAATATATAACTTTATGATTAATTATGACACAATTTAGGGTATTAAAATGCATAACATCATGATTAATTTTGACATAGCTTAGGGAACTGAAAAAATGTTGCATCTTTCATATTAAGACAACTCATTTTAGAATCACTTGATCTAAGGATCATCCCCACTTCTCAACAGTGTCCATCGACACACTATGAAAAGCTGGAACCAAACAGTGCTGCTGGACTTCATCCTTATGGGGCTGACAGATTCTGCAGAGATGCAGATGGCATTAACTCTGCTGCTTCTTCTGACTTACTTGATTTCTGTATTGGGAAACCTCAGCATGATCATGATCATTTATCTGGATCATCAGCTTCACACACCTATGTATTTTTTTCTCGCTCACCTCTCATTCATTGACCTCAGTTTCTCAAGTGTCATCACACCTAAAACTTTAGTGAACTTACTGACTTCTACCAAAAGTATTTCATTCCTGGGCTGTTTCACACAGATGTACCTTTGTATCTTTTTTGCTAGTTCTGAAATTTGTCTCCTCTCTGCAATGGCCTATGATCGCTATGTGGCTATCTGCAATCCTCTACAGTACCCTGTTATAATGTCCTCAAGACTCTGCTGTGCCCTGGTTATTGGCACTTATATGATTGGCTTTGTGGATTGTTCTTTCCTTGTGCTTTCTATACCTAGATTGTCTTTCTGCAATTCCAACGTAATTCATCACTTTTTTTGTGATATATTTCCAGTTTTAGCTCTATCCTGCCATGATACATTTGCCAATGAAATTCTAGTATATATTTGTGGTTGATCTACACCATTATTGTCCCTGATCCCAGTATTCTGGTCCTATGTGTCCATTCTCTATAC